TATTTGGGCAGGTTATCTGTTTGATTTATAAATAAATCTTTCGGTAGATTTTCGTAAAGAGCAAGTTATAAAACATTTATATCAGACAGCTTCTCTAGTCACGCTCCCAAGAAAACTAAATTAATACTAATAATTATGCATTTTTACTCATCTAAGCTTCCTCTTAACAACGTCCCATGCGCATTTACAAAACGCAACAATAAAAAATATACACTCATGTTTTATATAGAAACATAAATTGTACAAATAATCTTTTTATTTAGAAACTTTACACAACAAACTCAAATGAGTACTCAGAGAACTAAACTCTAACTACGAAACTCATGTGTGTATCTAGAAACAAAATAAAATTTGAAAAAAGATGTTTCGTTGCAGCACTTTGTCAAATTTAATTACAGCGTTGCCCATATAATAAAAATATCTCTACTTGATTAATGAAATATATATTTCACATTTTGTTTCACTATTTTATAGTTATAATGATGTTTTGTATTTCACACACTGAGACTATTTTGTTTCTGAAAGCCGTAAATGCTGTTCTCAACTGTTCTCGTTTCTGTTAAATGTTTTATCTTAGATTCTAATGCCAGTTAATTGCTCTTTTTTTATGAAACTGTTATGTGTGTTGAAAGTTAAACGCAAGAGCGATATTCCAAGTCTTGTGCTGCTCTTAAAACTACTCCCTCTATTGTCGAGCCTACGTAATCCTGTGATAAGAACTACGATCTCTTGCCCAAAACCATACATTTCATTCTAACAAGTTTCTGAGAAATACGGCGATCAAAATCATATACTTTGACAATATTTTTCTATATTCTCTACTGTCATCTCCTAGCACAACGTATATTTAGAGCACAGAAGTCCATTGGACCTACATCGTGGTGACTTTACATTGTTGGTGTGATTACATTTTTTCTCGGCAATTTGTTTCATAGAAATAGTCACCGATTTCTAGTCTTATCTGGAACGTGTGAGTTTTTGCTTTCTGAGCTGTTGACATTTTCAGATCCTCGTTCTCACACTGTTAGCAGTACCAAGATAACAGGTTAACTTCATCACAGTGCTTTTTAGGTCAGAGGGTTCACTTTAATAACCATGTACTTCACCTTACGGATGAGGGCTTTGCTCTGGATTGGCTTGGGATGTGATATTGGATATTGTGTAATAATTTCCCGATTTAATGGAGAGCACTGAAAGCTATCTTCTTTGGAAAGACCAATGCCATTTGGCTCTACATCATTTAACAATTTTGCTACGTCAGTATCCATTTTCGGAAAGGGCTGTGACATAATCATTCAGCCATCAGTCTATCAGTGGCAGCTTTGTACTATTAGTTGGTTTGCTAAACATGCCACCTGTGACGTCACGCCACTGCAATGTTTTACAGATCTTGCTTATAAAGTGTGATTAACTTTGTATTAGTGATCGTTATCAAAACTTTCAAATAATTATGTGTTTGCGGTAGAATATAATCTTATTAGAAGGAATTTAGTAGTTATCCCACATATTTCTATAAGAGTTGTTTTCAATTGTATAATAATGTTCTATAAATGTAACACATAAAATCCTTATTTATATGAATAAGATGTAGTTTGCAGTTTTAGGAAATAACACGTATTTGCTGTACTCGTACACCTGACACTTATTTGGAACCGAATATATGTACATATATCATCTATAGTTAAAACCGCATTCATTGTTACATAGTTTAACATAAAAGAGAGATATTTTAAAACATATATAAAGCTTTATGGGAAAAAAATGCTGGAAGTTTTACATTGTCAAGTAGGTCTTGTTCGAGAAAGCTATATTGTAGAAACTGAAGATTATCGTTGATGATACGAAACCGATATTTTTATGCTTTTATGTATTATGTGGTTTTCTTTCTTTTAAATTCATAGTAATAAATAAAGAGTTTTTAGAAATAATTTAAAGCCATTTTTATATTGTTTCAAATATATATATATATATATAAACACATACATTGAATACTTCCGAAAAAGTTATTTTAAAAAACAGATAATATGGGAGCTTCTAGAAGAGATTATCAGTGAATAATGATTAAATATGTTTTTTCTTTTCACCGTGTAAGTCATTAGTTATAAATTTGTGATATACGAATACAGGTAGAATTTATTGCTTGTTTGAGCAAAAAAGTCAATGATACTTAATTAGGTGAAAACACTCCGAAAATATATAATGATCCCTTTTCGATGACGAGGAACCCACTTTGAGACTAATAATGGCTGGAGACGGCTTGAATGGGTAATGAAAAAAAACTTTAATATAAGTTTAACATAACAGCAAATGTACAACGTTTCGACAAGGCTTTGTTCAAGAACCTGATGATGACAAAACCTTGTCGAAACGTTGTACAT